TCAGCAGGACATGAGTTTTCTTGCTTTTTGTTGGAGCAAGGAGGAGTTGGCTGATGTTGCCTGGCATACACTGCCATTCAGTGCCCAAACTAGCCAGCCCCGCTCGTGGCCAGGTGACTGCCAGGGCTGCAGGGATTGCGATTTGATGGTTATGCCTGTAGGCTGCTACATGAAGACGGTTGCCTGGCCTTTTGCTTTAGGTTTTAGCCTCCTGCGTGCTCAAGTCTAGCCGTTTGTCTTTTTGGGATCCCAATACCTGCATTCTTGGAAGTTGCTTCCAACAGCCCTCTTTGCCTGCAGGCTGGTATATTAGTTCACATCTGGCTTAGAAACTACCACTAGCATTTGCATCTGATTTAATTACACCAAAGTTCAAATAAGTCTGATGAAGTAACCTCTAGCTGGGCCTAACAAACTCAGGACCAGGCTGGTCCCCCAACTTTCTCCCCTTTCTTCTCTACTTCTGTTTGATATTATCCCAAATTTCTTTTTAAGGCATAGCTGTGTTTCTTTTAACTGACTTTTTTCATTCGTTCTTTTTCACTTTTTCTCTCCTATGCTGACTTTACTTCTATTTTTGTTTCCAGTAGTTGTTTGGTCTTTGGGGGTTTTTTTGTTCTTCTGTCAATCTCACTGCCACTTTGTCCCCCATTTCTTCTCTGCCTGGGTTGGGGGTTGAGATTTGTTTGCTTTCAACCAGATCTTCTGTGGGTGGCCAGGAGCATGTTAAAGGGCAAGCAGATGGCAGACTGGATCTGAAGGCGTCTCCTGGATGACTCTCCTGTTACTTACTGTGTCCAGATGGAAAGATTTGGCTGATAGTCCCAGGAACTTGGCGCCTTCTCTGAGCAAATCTGTTTGGAGAGCGCCATGTGGTACCCATGCAACAAGGGTGAACAGTCCTCCTTATTACGATGAAGAGTTGTTTCCATCCTGTTCCTTCAGAAACTCTGCCTGCCACATGGTCTGTCCCTTTCTTTTTCCCTTTGCTGCTATAACCAGTACAAGGCCAAGTGGTATCCAGCCACCGGCCAGGAATGGTAGTCCTTAGCTGCGTACTAAGCAGTGCAACAAGCCAGACCAGTTTTTGGAGTATTTCCTAGCCCTCTTGCACATAGAGAGTCTGATGAACTGGCTGGTGGGCCAGCAGAGGTGCTGGGCACAGGCGATGCAGTTGCAGTCTTAGGGAGTGAGAGCCCATCAGCTCAGTGAGGCTTGGCAGCTGATTAGTGCAATTAACAAGTCAGCGGTGGCAAAACCTAATGGTATGGCCAAATGAGACACCCCAGATCAATCTGCCATATATGTCAGAGGTCTGGTTTATCTGAACTTGTTTCTTCTGTGGCCAGGACCCAGGCAAGTGCCCTTTCACCACTGCACTGAGCTTCTGTACGTGGGAACTGTCACTGCTGCCCTACTTGTTCCTCCATGATTACTGGAGGAAGAAGAAGTACAGAAATTGCTCTAAATGTTGCAAAGTGCACAGACGGGCGTCTGAACGTGGGCAGCGAAGACTGCCACCAATGTAGTGCGCTGCTGGAGAGGTCCTGGGGCTGCTGGGGCAGGGAGTCTCCGTGAGCCTGGGGCTGCTTTCCTGTGCTTTTCTTCCCCTGCCTGCTTTTGTCTGCCCTGTGCATTGCTGCAGGGCAGGGCCCACTTCAGGAGCATGTGTGCCTCCAACCAAAACCTGATCTCATCTGGGGCCTCCAGGCACTGCTTGTTAAAAACTGTAACAGTGGCAGGCTACCAAGTGCTGATCCCAGCCTCCCATGCCTCCCTCCCAGCTAACCACAGGCAGGGCTATCCCCATTTCCTCGCATTTACATGGAAGCCTGTCTGCCCCCTGCAAGGAGAACACAGCTGTTGAGTAATGCAAGTAATGTTTTCCCTTATCAGGGCTGACCATGTGTTGGCAGGGTTTCCTCTTGCCATCAGATTGTGTGGGACAATCCCACACACACAAAGGGCCCGGAGAGCTTGGCTGTGGAATTTGTAGAGCTGGGCTTTGCCTGTGCTGTGCTGAGTGCCAGTGACCAGTTAGATGAATTAAGGTCCAGTAGATAATGACTCTATAACAAGCTCCGGACTGGGGTGTCATCTTCCTTTTCAGTCTCCATTTAAATGAAATTTTCAGGAGTATCAGTTGCCCTCTGACTAGGGCAAGTCATCTGGGTCGTGCAGTGGGATGTAAAGCTGTTGTGACAGCTCTCCTCTTCCCCTGGGTGCTCCAGAGCACCCTTGTGCAGGAGAAGGACGCAGGGTGTCCTAAATCTAAACCAAACAGGACTCGCCATGCACAAAGGGCCTTGGTCCCATGCAATGTTTGCATTGTGTAATGGTTCTACAGCAGCTGTGCAACCCTCATTAAGTATCTGTGAACCCCTATAGAGAGATAAATCCATTGGAAACTGGGCTTTATTAATTCTACTGCTCAAAAATGGCTTGTTTTGCTACAGAGGAAAAGCTTTACTGCTGTTGCCCAAGCTCCATAGCACAAAGCTGTGGGAGGAGGTTCTCTGCTTGTCCTTGGTATTTCCATCTTGGTCTTCAAGCTAGCCTAACACCTCCACCCATTTCCCAGCTGGGGAGAAAACAACCTGGAGGTTAAAGCACATGTCTGTATGTGTGTTGGGAACCTTGTTGCCGAGGAGTCAGCCAAGCAAGTGAACACCTCTTTAACTATTTGGAGGAGAGAAAGAACTCCAGATTGTCACTCAGTACCTGTCTGAGCGTAAAATAGCTGAGCTGATAGTGTCTTTGCTCAATTAATGTTGTGCAGCTCTGGGTGGATCCTTGGCTTTCATCAGCCTCCAGCATTCTTGAGTCGCTCTCATCTTGAGGCTTTTTTGTACATGTCTGATGGGGTGTTGAGAAAGGGCCTATCTCTCAACAGCTTACGTAGATGTACATGCCTCCTTTTCACTTCTGAAGAAAAATGAGATGGCTTTGCTTATCTGAGGCCTGTCTCCTGTGTTGGAGGAAAGGCAGGCGTCCAGCCTGGGAACATCATTTATATTGGGCATTACTGCAGCCACACCACTGGTACAGGGCCACTGTGTGTCCCCACTCCCTTTAGAAGTCCCAGGCACAGGGGATATTAGGAAAGCAGGGTGCAGGTGGCAGGGGGTTGCATCTTAATGACCCTGAGCACTCTGCTGCCGGTTTAAAATAAGGTGGAGCTGGGGTTAAGTCTCTTCACTGGAGGAATATGTGGGGTGGCCCCAGCTGTAATTCCTACATGGTGAGAGCAGGACTTGGTGTTCTGCGTGCTGACTCCTGACTGTTTGTTTCCAGGGGATGAGCTGGAATACATTCGCCCCAACGTCTACCGTAATATCGCCCGCCAACTGAACATCTCACTGCACTCAGAGACGGTGGTGACGGACGCCTTCCTGGCAGTAGCGGCGCAGATTTTCACTGCAGGTACTGTGCCTTGACAGATACGCAGACAGGGCTGGGCAGAAAGGAACAGGATGGAACCACCTCTCTCAGAGAAGGCATGTTTCTGGGATGGCCTGCAAGGTGGGGCATGGTTTCTGAAAGGGCTGTGGGCAGTTTGGCAGTGTGCCATGATTTAATGAGAGCTCCTCTATGCTTTGTTGTTCTGGCAGGGAAATGCCCTGTTTTATTATATCCTCCTGGCAGGTTCTTGCTCATTCTAGAAGGCATCTCCTGCCCTTCCTCATTAGGAGGTGGTGTTACCTCATTGCAGAGGGAGGTCACTCATTCCAAGCTCCTTTGCTCACCATTGGCAACTGGAGAAGATTCATTACATGGGAGTCTCCCTTGTTCCAGCTCACGTTGCTGGTGCTAGGAGCCAGAACCAACTCATCACAAGGGAGTTCCTCTCTTTCTGGCTTCCTTTTCCCCAGCAATAGCCAGAACTGCAATGGAGCCTGCTGCTTCCAGTTGCTGCTTCTCCTTTCTTGTACTCAGAGAGACAGGAGCCTCGGCCCTCGAGGCTAGCTGTTCCAGACAAGCAGGTGCTTTGGGTTTTCTCACTGTTGAGATGTGAATGTTCTTCTTCTGTTTGGTCCCAGAGATGATTGTCAAAAGCAAAAGTACATGCTGTGCTGTGTTCCTGCGAGGGAGCTTCAGCCTCCCTGAAAACAGTCCCTGCCTGCGATTGGGAATGCAGTCCTGGGGGAATCAAGGGAGGAGAAATGTTTTACAAGGAAATTTATGTCAGGCAAATCCTGACACGGTTGTAGGTTTTCTGCAGTGTCTTCTTGTGTTGTCCATGGAAGGGATAGTAGATGTTAGAGACTGGAAACAAAACAAACCAAACAAACAAAACAACAACCAAAAAAAAACCCACAAAAAGAAAAACCAGACAACTACTTGCTAACAGCACAGTAGTGTGAAAACACTGGGTCCAGTGACATTAACATGGGAAGTGTCACAGGAGGCAGTGATTCTTGTTACTTTGGGAGTAGTTGGTACAGGATAGAAATCCAGGTTTCTGTTGTACTTTCACATAGGCTTCCTTACTCAAAACCTTTTTATCTTCATAATCAGCTATGTGTCTCTATGCGTATGAACTGCATGGGAACCACTGACACCCTAGAGAAGCCCTGTGCTGACAACCTGGACTTCGTATCTGAAGTGTGTTGTGGTGGAGAGAACAGATCCTCTCCAGAATCACAACAGATGACAAAATAGATCTCTGAGACGGACTGCAAAAGCATGGCTCCCAGCAGGTCTAGTAGGGCAGATTTACTCCCTAAGTCAGGGAAACTGAAGCTGTGCTATAAGAAATGGATGGAATTGGATTCTGTAGCTAGTACTGCAGCCCTCAGCATCCTTTCAGAGCATGCCTGGAATGCAGATCGCCTTTGCACTGGGCTGGCTTGGGAGGCCATATAGGCTCAGAAAGCAAGAGCTGGGCAAGTATGGCAGGAACGTCTGAGTGTGGCTGTGTTCAAAGTGCAGGAGCCCTGTCTTGTCACTTAGTGCTGAGCTTTACTTGCGTCAAGGCTTACAGAAGAATGAAGGTCAAGTTTGCAGGTATTTGTATTGCAGGTAAGTAGGTTATCTTCTTAGATGACTATAGCTGACTACATCAGAACTGGCCTACCTCCAAAGCTGAAGTGGCACAGGGAATTAAGCCAGAAAGGTGGATGGCTGCAGGTGGAGCAGACTTCGTGCTGCTATGCTGCATAAACATGATGCTGGGGAGAAAGTCCTGCTGGCTCCTGGGAGTCCTGCTCTCACCAATGTATATTGACAGATTTGTTGAGAGCTGCATTTTTTTGGTGTTCTTCAACTTCTCAGCTCAGGAGTCAAGCGAAAAGTGTGGATGGTTTAAAATGTTTTTGTTGAAAGTAAAGCTAGAAATTGTAACTCTTGGTTCTAAACTTGGGGTTTTCAGGCTAGTAAGAATGGGATCTGGACTCAGCCCTTTGAGGCTGCCAATGCTAGAGACTTTGGGAACATGGTACAGGCCCAGGCTCAAGCTCTGTTGCTCATGCTGCCCCTCGTCTGGGGACACCGTGCGGCATAAATGGCTGGCAGTTGGCTGGCTGCACAGCGGGTGGATTCAAATCTTCCTGGTGCTCTGTATGCTCCGTTTTTCCTTCTTTCTCATCTCTGCCTCAGAGCAACTAACAGGATAACCTGTGAGCATGAAGCTGGGGTGGTGTATTCAATTGCTTTTGTCAATTTGTTGTTGTAATTTCTCTTGCTGGAAGGCTGCTGAGAGGCAGAGGGGGAGGAATTTACTGATTTTTAACATTCCTGGATCCCAACTGCAGTCTCAAGACTCAGCATTTAATGCTAAATCCAGCAAATCAGAGTTGGCTGTGGCAGCCAGACATTCATTCCTAATTTTTTTCATAGTTCAGAGGAAAGAGGCTCTTACTGAGCAAAGGAAATCAGAGACTCAAGTGCAGTCTGAGTTTTCGTGCCAATTACCAATGGCTAAAGCATCTCGGCCTGTTTTTCATTGTCCATTTTATTAAGAAAACAGCTACAGTCTGACACTGCAGTGCCTAGACAGTCTGCAGAGCCCCATTAGTCACTCGCAATGCCTTTCCAGCAAGGGAGTGGGAGATTTTGACCCTGTCTTGCTGCAGAGGTTTTCTCCTTAATCTTTTACATGGCCTTCTTCCACACTCTGGTCTGGTTTTGAGTCTTCTGTAGATCTGGCTGTGCTCACTTCCTGACCACACTGTGTGCAAGTCTTGACTAAGCACAAGCCCTAGATGGACCTCTCAAGAGGGCAAGTCTGAGGACATCGGGCAACCTTGTTGGTCCCACTGCATGGGTACATTGTGCCATATTCAACTTTAGAGCATTGTCTGTTCCAGTTTTCTCAGGTTTGGCTTTTCTCTGGTGTAGCAAGGACAGCTTGAATCCCAATTACAGCAAGATTAACCGCTGAGAATATAGGCAGAAGGTGAGCAGGTCACAGAGCATGGTAAGGCTCAAGCTGTATTTTGCTTCCCTGTTTCCATACAACCTGTTAGTTATTCAGGGCGAGGAGAGCCCATCTGTGTGGAGGCTGGCACCGCAGAGGCCTGACCTGCTGCTTTGGATGCTGAAGGATCTCCAGCAGCATCACCTCTGTGACAATACCACTGGTTCTGGTGTGTGGTCCAAAGCTGCTCTGCAGCCAGCAGGAGACTTTCCACTTTAACAGGCTTTGGATTGAGGCCTGGCTGAGCTGGCATTTACATTAGCTGCTGTTTAAATAAATCCCAGAAGGAAGGGGTCGCTTGGTGGAAAAAAAGAAGAAGAAAAGGGAGATGCATTTTCCTTTCCTGAAGGAAACAGTTTCTTCCATTTGGTAAGAGCTGGTAGGCATGAGGGCTCTCTCAAAGCTTTCATCCTGGTTTTGTGTTGGTTTAGGTGCTTGTCAGTTTTTAATCAAGAGTGCTGGGCTGAAGTGAACCCTGTACAACAGGGATGCGTGGTTAATGGGTTCTAGGGAGAAAATACTTTCCCCTGCAGGAGCAAATGCTGTTAGAAATGCATCCCACTGCTTCCTCATCGCTTAGGCCTTATGAGTTGAGCTTCCTGCCTTGTGCATGTCCTTCTTGGCTTCTTCCTCTCCACCAGAGGAAAGTATATGTGTCTGGCTGTATCCTCCCAGCTGTTGAAATGTAGCACTTGATCATGTTTCTCTTCGGTCTGATTTGAAAGTTAGGCTTTGATGCTGAGTGGAGCAGAGGGAAGTTTATTTGAGTAACCTTGAATAGTGTGGTGCTCTGAGACTGCACAGTCGTGTCTCATGGCTTCTTGAGCTCTCCCCTCAGGCAGGCAAGCTGATGTGCAGCAGGAACACTTTCAAGAGCGGTCCTCTTCTGCTAATTCATTGTCCCCTGGGCTCCCCAGTGTTTACATGCCTTCAGCTCCATGACTGGCCTTGAGTCTGCAACTTGTGTTTCTTATTTTTCAAAATGCCTTCTAAGCAGCTTTTCACATTTTCTGTGTCCTTTTGTTCCATCTCTGTGAGCAGAAGTTTCAGAGCTTTCTCTGTTTTGATCACGCCTTTCTGGACCAGTTTTCCATTCCCTCTTGTCGTTAGCTCCTGTGCATGCTAGTCTGCACAGTGGGAAGCTGTGAACAGATCGTTTCTCTTGGTGATGAATGCCCGTTTCACCCAATGTGGATGGCAGCCAGACCTTTTGAGGAATTTGGAGCAAGACAATGTGTCTTCTCTGCTCATGTGCGCTGGCCAGATGCAATTCCAGCTTATGCTGAGGGATGCATCAAGCTAGTATCACCTTGACCCTGGCCTCGACATCACAGGGGGCAGAGGCGCTGCCGTCCCAGTAGACTGTGCTCCGCTACCCTTGCCAAGGCAATCCTTGAGAGAGAAAAGTTAATGGAGCTGGTGTCCTGGAAAAGTGCGGATGGGGGCTGCTGTGGCCTGTTCCCCTGCCCTGCCTGGGGCTGGGTGGCTGCTGGAGCCCTCCTGGGGCAGAGGGACCAGCCACAGGCATGGCCCAGCTTTGGTCTAGAGCGGCTGTTAGAGGTGTTTGCTCTTCCTTTGCTTCAGGGCTCGCCTACAACATGTGTGCGAACAAGAGCATAAGCTATGCCCTGCTGTCTCTGGTGAAGAGCCCAGCCAGCTGTCTCCATCTTCTGCCTCCAGCAGTGGCAATAGGAGGTTCCATGCAGAGAAATCGGGAGGGGATTTCCTCCTCTCCCACCCCTGTGGCCCAGCTCTGCTGGTAACAGGAAAAGCAGCCTGAAAGATTGTTTTGACCCTTATAGGCATGCTCTGTAAAGAGGAGGATAATGGGAAATGACCGCTGAGCCCTTCACATCCATCACCACGATAAGCATCGGTCAACAACTTGCCCTTTTTCTGCTGTCTGTGTGAAAGGGAGAGGGACTCTGTCCATGTGCTGGGGAAGCGTTCACCTCGTGCAAGTCCTGCAGCAAGCACCACTACTTAGCAACCTTGGCAGAGAAGCCAGAGGTGAAGGGCTTTCTCTCCATCCTCCCTGGGAAGAGACACCTGGACTGACGCATCTGTGGAGCAAACTGCTTTCCTGTGTATTAGGGAAATCATGGGTCTATTGAGCCTTTATCTTTCATAGGCTGTGGATACACTTTTCTTCTGTTGAAAAGAGAAACTTGGGTTTAAAACAAAGTTAATCAAAACTGCAGCTTTCTCTACCAGGGTGGCCTCAGCCCCCTGTCAGTCTTAGTTACTGCCATGTAAATATCTCAAAGGTAATGGACTTGCTTCAGATACTTAAGAAAGAGTGCTGTCAGTAAAAGCTTGGGAATAAGCCAGTGAACTCTTCCCTGGAATTTTGGGTAACTTTGGTTCATGTAACTCGAGATGCAAGGAGCCACATTTCTGCAGTGATGGACAATGGCAAAAACTGACTTGCACTAAAGCCAGCTGAGGCTCTGGTCCAGGAGATTGTGGTCAGCAAGAGGTAACCCCTTAAAGCCTCTTCACTGGGTGGAGAGATATTGACCTGCAACAGGACAGCCTCTTTCTTGCCAGGAGAAGCCCTCTGTCTAGTATTTTCTAATGAGGTTTCATAGCCTCTTCCTGGATCATTCTGCTGGCTGTCACGGTGACATGCCATGTGAGAAGGACCGATAAATAGTGTGAATACCACACAGGCAGTGAACTTCCTGAGTGACAGCTCTGGGGAAAGGACACCACAGAGCCCACTCAGAAAATAAAATCAGAATAAGAATAACAGCCAATTTAGTTATATTAATAACTTCCTTTGATTTTGGAGATAGTGTTGGTGAAGGACAGAGTATCACAGGAGACACTGAGCTACTGCTGTTACTGTTGCTACAGAGCCTCACAAAAGGATCATCTGTAGATTTTGATCTTATATCAGTCATGAGTGAAAAATGGCTTTTTTGGAATACTGAATGGATTTTCTTCAGTCTGACAAGTCACTCCTGTGGCTGACATTGGAACAGTTTCTCTAAAGTTTAGTACTTTTTTATTTAAAAAAAAAAAAAAAAAAGAAAAAGGAAGCAATTCCTAAAAGTGTTAGTGTGAGTGTCCCTTTTGAGGCACTAAGTGGAAGGATTGTGGAAATGCTCTGAAACCTGCACGTATTGTAAAGGAACGTGGGGAGCTCTGCTGCCATGTGAACAGATGTGAGGACTCTGGAGCTCCATCCTGGAGAGGTGGGTCGGGGTGCCTGGGGATCTGGGAGCACAATGAAGGAAAGAGGAAGACTCTTCACTTAATTTAAATTGTGTTTAATGGTTTGCTTTCTTAGCTGATAGATTGCTGAGCACATCCAGTTTTCTGATCGTGTGTTTAACCCCTTCTGGTCCTTAGATCTAGTGACTGAACTAATCTTTCCTCCTCTCACCTGTTTTCTTTCTTCTTGCAACCCAGCAAGAACAGTTTTGTGTGGTTTTTAAATACTGAAATTTCACCTGGCTTCTGGCTACATTTGGGAGAGACCTTGGACAGACTCCATAGAGACCTAACACAGTATGCTTGTCAAATACTGCTATTCCAGATAATGAAGTAAGGGGGAGGAATTAAATTTCCTAGTGGATCCAAAGGAAATCCACATGCCACTATGCTGTGGTAGTTCTTCTGCGTGGATGCAGAAGGGTTGCGTTTCCAGGTCACTGGTCCCGGTAAAAGCCTGATGAGGGACTGCTGGCTGCAGTGTTTCAGCCAGGAGGATTTATGCCCAGTGGTGTTGGCAAAGTGCAGGGGAGACCCAGGGAGTTTGGCTGGTACCCAGAACTGAGCTCGAGCGCTTATCGCTAGCACTAACACGAAGATGACTGCTGCTGGGACAACTTCCATGGAGCATTTGTTGCTGGCAGGTCAGCCTAGCAGGAAGGCTGTTTTCTGGGAGATTAGATAACTGACTGACACTCCATCCCTGCACTGCCTTCAGTGGGATAGGATATCCAATGTTAAGTATTGAAGGCAGAGTGGCAAAACTCTTGAAGCTACCTGATTTTCAGATGGAGACTGAGGTGTACTCTTTACATCAAGGAGGACGCCAACCCTCTTGGCCCTGTAGCTTTGCCTCCCTTTTTTGCTCTTATGTCATGGTAGAACTGACTGAAGATGCTTATCTCGTGTGCTTTGTGTGTCACATTGGAACAGTCTCCTCTGATCTAGAAAAAAACAGGAATGTTTTGTCTTAAGGGTGTTTAAGAGTTGTGCTGGTGACAAAAACCCCAGGTTGCTCAAACTCTTTGAATTCAGTCACCTCCTGTGCAGCATGTGCATGGCTGAGAGTTAATGGCAATATAAACCATGGTGGTGTAAATCCTCCCTATTTTGATTATACCTTTGGGCTGCTCTTTCCAAAGCTGTGCACCCAGTGCTCAGAGGGGCTCAAAGCATGCCCAGGTCAGATCATTTAATTCTGCTTCTCCGGCTGGAGAGTTTTCCCCAACTCTGGTCCCCTAGTATTTCTTTTCCCCCGTGGTGGAGAGCATGCAGAACTGTGGCTGCACCTGAACTCAGAGCTGCACACATGCAGCATGGGCACATGTAACGAAGGAGAGCCGTTTCCTTTGATTATTCAAGACTGAGCTATGTGTGCGTGTGTAAATCTGAATGACCTTTTTTCTTTTCATAGGCATAACATGGGGCAAGGTGGTGTCTCTCTATGCTGTGGCAGCTGGGCTGGCGGTGGACTGCGTGCGGCACGCACAGCCAGCCATGGTTCACACCATCGTAGACTGCCTGGGAGAGTTTGTCCGCAAGACCTTGGTGACATGGCTAAAAAGGAGAGGAGGCTGGGTAAGAGATGCTATCTGATCAAGCTTGCTTCCACACATGCAGACCAGAAAATATCCCGCGTAGTGAAAGTGAGTGTGCCCCCACTGCAGCTTTATGCAGAAAAACATTGAATGAGATTCTCTTCCACAGGCACTGTCCTACTTACACCTGTGCTAGACTCCATATAGCTCTGTTACTACCTGGTGGTCCCATCCTCAACAACATCAGCTATTCTGGTCCTCAGCTTCAAGCGTATCTGTGCCAGACTAATTCAATCCTGACCCACCAGGGCCTCTTCTGTTCCTGACCTGAACAGCCAGTCATAGCGGGAGACTGTAAATAGGGGTCATTCTCTTGGGCAGCTGTTTTCTAGAAACTGAAAAAAATGAGGCCTGCTAACTTAATTCCCCTTTCACCTGCCCCACAGTTCCCCAAGTCAAAGCTTAGTATATTAACATGACTTGCCACCGTAAGTAATTTTAGAGGGATATTAAAACCTGGTAGTTTGTGCCATTCCCTGACCTGACCCTGATGATGCTCCATGAATAACTTCTGATGTAGCTCAAATTGTAGGGCGCTTATGCTTTGAAGGGCACTCACAACACGCATCGACAGTGGGAGGGCTTGTGGCTCTGTCACTGGCCTGCTCTGAGACTGTGGGTAAGGCAGGGTGCTGCTCTGCGTTGGAGTGAGGCTCCATATCATATGGCTTTAAGCATCTGATTTCTTTGGTTCTCTCTATATGCAATGGGAAATACAATGCTCCTGTGGAGGATGGTTCAGAGTAAGAGCTTTACTTTGGTGCTGTGGAATAACCAGACACCTTTCTAGTGACCTCCTCAGGAGACCGAGATGACTGGTTGGCTATGTTAGCAGTTGGCAGCTGGGTGATGTACACATGTACCAGGATCTCTGTGCCTTTCTGGCACGGATATAGACACTCCTTGGAGCAATACAGCTAAAAGCAGTTTGGTGTACTGCCTGGCAGATGCTGCCTGGAGCTAAATATTGCCATATGACACCACTGAGCTCATGGGACATCTTGTTCCCCCAGACTGAGCCACAGTGGCAAATTCCCTCCTTTCCAAGAGGAGGTATTTGTTCCTGAGCCGTCAGGAAATGGTCAGGCTCCCCACCCCACACAGACCTGGAGAGAAGGGGATATCTTTTTCCAAACCGAACATTGCTTCTCTGGGCTGAGACTTCCCAAGTGTGCCTGTAGCTGATTCAGTCACCTAGCTTCTCCAGGAGTGAGGGCACCTTTTTGATGTAGGGCAACTGGAAAAGTAGCGTAGTTCTGATTTTTGGATCCCTTGCATTTACTAAGTGTCATTGCCACCTTAAATCATCTCTGCCCTCTCTAAAACAGTGTGACCTTGAGGCCAACTGAGTCAGGGAACTGTTGGTTGGGCTGAAATTGAATTTGAATGCCCTGATCTGTTTCATTTTGCATCTGCACAAATAATTGTACCAAGGTAGGTGAAGAGGATATGCTGGGAAAGTGACTGATTAAATAGCACTGTTTCTGCCTGTGAAAATCCCTGCCTCAGTATGATTTGAGGCTTACTTTAACCGTGTACCTGTAGAGCTGGTTGAAATGTATTCTCTGAAACAATTTTTCCTTTGGAAAAAATCCAGTTTCATTAAAATTGAAATGTTGCATAGGAACGTGTTTCCTCCTAGTTGCCAACTAATATTTTCTTTCTTTTGGTAAAACATGCGTGTTCTGATAAGTTAGCATCTTGTTTTAATTTTTGTGTTATATTAGTTCAAAACAGGGTGTTTTGATAGTTCCAAATGGATATTTTTTGAAAGTTTGTGGCATAGCAGACAAGCTGCAAAACCCATCCCCAGACCACAAGTGGTTCTTTGCAGCTGAGGAGATAAGTCCTGTCCACTGCTAGCTCCTTCTGCCGATCATCCCTCTTTGGATGGCCAGCGCATTTCTATTAAAGTTACTGAACCCCGACGCTGCTTGCTCTTGGGATCTGGCCTTAAGAAAGGGAAGCCAATCTCACTGCCCCCGGTCGGACAAAATGACTATAAAAGCTGCTGGGTTGTGCTGATTACAGCCTGTCTCCAGTACCCTTATCAGCAATTTTGGGCTGCAACAAGGAGATATTTTCCCTCTAGAAATGAGGGGTTCCTTCAGTCTAGGGAAAGGCTGCTAATCCTCTTGCCATCTTGTGCTGTGCTTCCCTGAATGTTCTTCCTCTTGATCTAGGCACTGCAGCGTGAAATTTCGCAGCCTTGTTCGCAAATGGGCCAGATGAAATAGCTCTGTAGTGGGGACCCTTTCATCTGCTGCCTGGCCTAGCTGGTTGTTAGTTTGTCTTGGCATGGAGTCCTTGTTTCCCCTGTGCACATGGCCCCCGTCTCTTATGCATCGGCTCAGGTTGAGGCTGCCAAGAGGAAACACCGTTCTCCTAGCTGTTTCAGAAAAGCCACGTGGAGACCTTGGAAAAGCATTTGAAAGTCTCCACTCAGCAGTAGGTTCCCATACTGCTTCCATAGGGTGGAGAAAGGCCCTACCCCCCCAAAGCCCAACCCAAAACAAACCTCTTAGGAGAAACAAGAAATGTTTAACCCTTTGAGGCATTATCTCTTCCTGGGGAGAGTTTGTAGCCTCAGTACTGGCTTTAAGGTAGAATAGAAAGATTTTTTTTTTTTTTTTTTTAGCAGCTGTTACATACATTTGCTACAAAGAAGAGCGTGCGACTTGAACTTGTTTGAATAATTAACAGGCGAAGATCAAACTGCCATTGCAACAGTTTATCAGTGCCTCACAAAGACCTGTTTTATTAAGTAGCTTTGAAATTTTCAATTGCAGTGCCTTATCAGGTATGCTTTATTTGGATAACAATAGCTAAGGCAATTGTTAAACAGCTGAGGAATTCTGTTTATCTAAGCAAGCACCATACAAATTTGTAAGTGCTTCTGGCTGCAGCTCCTCTTTGATTAGCTGCAGTGAAGTCATTGCCTTTGGTAGGGCATAGCACAGCGTTAAGGAGTTCACACTTTCTCATCTGGAAGTTAATCCTCTGCAGCTATTATCAGCCCGGTGTGCATATTTGGGCCTGGTTCACTTAAGGCACTAAAGCCCTTCAGAGCTTAGGTTTCTTATTGATTAGCTACCCTAACATCTGAATACATGTTCAGACAGGTACCTGCATGTCATGACTTCTCTTGACTAAAGAGGCAGTTTGACACAACTGTGTTTTAAATATGACACCGTGCCGGTCCCTAAAATTGGACAGGCTGAATCAGTTCAGACTTTTTTCAAATGCAAATAGGGTGAGTTTGCTAAGCCATCACTGAAAGCATTTAGGCAGACCCATTTTACTTTCCTCCACAATACAGATAAAGTACCTATAACCACCGGTACTACATTGCAGCATCTTCTGTTATGGGCTGTCTTGGCTGCTTGCTATGTTTGCTGGTGCTTTTGTAGCTATAGGCAGCAGCATTTCCACACCTTGGTGTTCAGCCTCAAGAGCACCCCATGTGCTGATTCAGCTTCCTCCTGTCATCCTGTTTCTTCCCGTCCTTGCGTGCCTGTTTTCACTCCTCCTGCAATCACTACTTGTCAGTTGTTCGTGGGCTCAGCGTCTCCTAATGCTCCCCGGAGAACAGCAGTGCGGGGTGATTCAGCGTGCCAGCCTTTCAGACTTCCTCGTGAGGGAGGAACTGCTGGAACTGCGTGGGAGGCTGTTGAGGCTGCTGTCAACAGACCTTTGGTCTGTAGATGACGGTGGAGTCTGTTAGTGCGGCTGTACTCACTAACCAGACACAGGGATTTGTCCCCTCAGACCCCCTTTTGTTTTCTTCTAATTATTACCAAGGTCGGTCAGGCGAGGCTCACCCATGTCTTGAACACAGGAAGTACTGGAAAAGATTATTGGAGTATTCAGCAGCTCTCGTGTCCTGTTTTACGGGAGGAGCATCTCAGGGTTGAGAGACTGACTTCCCTCTGCGTGGTCAATGAGAGACTTGTGTCAGAAGGCAAACTTGGAAGATTGCTGAGCTAAGCCTGTAAAGAAAAAGCTTTTGGGGCTGATGAATATTTGCCCTGCTTGTGACCTGATTCTTGTTCGCATTTGCCACCCAAAAGCCGTTTCTGAAAACTGCGTCAAGTTGATGTGCTAACGGTGCTCCCTCTGTTACAGAACTACAGTCCATATCTCCTTGTGCTAGGCTGAAGTTTAACCACAAACTCAATTATATTGCTGGCAAAACTTTAATTTGTTTCCCCCACCGCAAGATGCAATTTTCTATCTACCTCTGTCCTGTTCGCTTTACCCTCCAGATATTTTCCACCTTCTCCTCCCAATGCCAGCTGAGATCCTGTCTTCATGAATTTGCTGGATTGTTGTTGTTTTTTATTCATTACAGGCCAGCTTCTATTCTTGTTAATACTTGAAACCAGCTGCCCAAGTGATCTTTAAATCTGGCCCACGTGTCTGGGAGGCATCTCTGCCAGCATACATATTTCCACAAACAAAGCTTGCATTGCTTTAGATTTAAATTGGGGGTTGGCTTGCTTGAATGAGTTCCAAATAAAACATTAAGGCAAGAGAAAAAGTGCAAGCAACTTGAGCCGATATTAAACAGGACAACCTCTGGGAAGCATCTTACTTTACAGAAGAGGATGAGAATGCTGATATTGCCAAGGTTTCCTAGCTCTTTGTAAAGGGGAAGAAAGTTTCTTTTATTTAGCTATTCAAAACAGAAAATGCTTGACAGTCTTCCTGTAGCATTTCTTTCCCCAGGGGTGGCTGAAAAGGGGGATACTTCACCTTGTTGATGCAGAACGAAGAAAGTGTGTTCCGCAGAGCTCTTGAGCCTGATTTAATAACTTGCAGTGTGTGGAAGTGTCAGAGCAAGCATTTGTGGCTGTTGACGGTGCAGCAAAGTGGTGCTGCAGCACTGGTGGCACGGTGCCGCGGGTTGTGGGGCCGGGAGAGTCTGCAGCGGTGGCTGATGTGGTTCTGGGCATCTCTCTCTGATGATCTCTGTTCCCTCTTCATTAGGCAGACATCACAAAATGCGTGGTGAATACTGACCCCAGCCTTCGCTCCCACTGGCTCGTGGCCGCTGTTTGCAGCTTTGGTCACTTCCTCAAGGCTATCTTCTTCGTCCTGCTGCCTGAGAGATGAATCCGAGTTGCCAAACGCAGCCCCCGTACCCCAGCTCCTCCCCAGCTCCAGAAGCAGTGGTAACGGCAATCTCTGAAGAGGAGGAAGAGAAGAACTGGGACAAACAAAAGGCTTGTTCTCCTCTCCCTTCAGCTGGGAGCAGATGATCAACCACAGTCTCTTTTTTGCAGCCACAGGAGCCTCTCTCACTGCTAATCCTTTCAAGAGTCTTGTTTCCCCGGGTGACTTGTGTGTGTGGCCTGGACATTGCCAGTCCCTGGGCACGCTGATTGCAGCTGTGTGCAGCGTAGACTGTCAGACGTCTGTTCCTTATGGCTGTGTTGCATGCTTATGCTAGTGCCAGGCAGAGGGGAGGAGAAAGGGGATATTATTTGAAATGGGATAGAAAACAGGAGAGGGGGAGAGTCCCTCCTTCGCTCCATGTGATTCCCCTTTCAGTCCTCAGACTCGCCTTGCGTCAATTCTTGTTGTTACATTTGTGCTTAAACTCCATCTCCTCCTTTATACCTAACTCTGACTTGCTGGGCTCTGCCCCCAGCACAGCACGGTGGAGGGGTAACGCAGCTGTGGGTTTTTAACGTGATAAAACCAAAAATTGCGAGATGCGTCTCCCCGACTTACCTTGGAAATCAGACTGAGCGGCTGTGTGAGGGGCAGGACGAGAGGGCAGTTGCATGTGATGCAGTTTGCAAGTGTGTTTTGTTGATCCCTCTTATTGTGCTCACACACCATTTCAAACAGGAGAGTGAGGGGCAACGCCTTCAAGTAACAATTCGGGATTGAATTTCATAATGAAGAAAAATGTTTTCTCCACTGTGATTTCGTCAGAACTAAGCATGTAAGTGGGAAAGGCTGGGGGGCATGGGCAGGAATTAGGGAAACAGTAAGTGAACTGTCTCGTGTTGTGAAGGGGGAAAGCTGTGTCAAAAGTAGCTGATCTATGTTTCTCCTTTAACGTCTTCGGAAGTACAACTTGCAGTCTTCTTTGTGGCAAACAATAAAAGAAAATAGGTGGTGTTTCACTATTGCAAAGGGTATTGTATTTGTTTCCAGAGTTAAAAATTCCAAAAAAGGCCAGAACAGTGCAGAGACAAATGCTCACGCCATGCTAAAAATACTTCAGCTTTTCCCCTGGTAGAACATGTTAACGTGTTAAAACTACAACTCGCCCGGTTCATGCTAGGAATTTAACCCATGTTGTTACCATGTCAGAAATGTGCTGTTTTCACCGACAGAAGTGGGGCCTCGCAGAAGTCGGCAGGGGAAGGCTGTGAAGCCTCTTCTCTGCCAAAGCCTCACAGGAGACACCCTGCTCGGTGCCTTGCTCCCAAGAGCGTGGTGTCGCAGAAAAACACTCTTCTGGATTAAGGCGTTTTTGCTGGTTTTTTTTTTTTTTTTTCCTGATTTCCCTCCCACACCCTGTGTTTAGAGGAGCTGTACTGTTTCCGTCCAGAAGTTACAAATGGGTTTGAGAATAAAGCAAAGCCTTTACTTTTCGGTTGTATCTGTGCAACAGGTTTCTGCTAGCAGTTAGTAGTGCTGTGCTCTGACCAACAGAACCACTGGCAGAGGATATGTAGGTGGTTATACCCTTGCATGGTCCTGCTTTTGACTGGTCTAGCCTTTGGCACTTCACTTTGTCTTGACATACGGGTACCGGCCCCAGCTTTACCCGTAGTACTACACCCGCAGTGAAGGGTGCTTTACCAGCTCAGTCTACTAGTACTTTTTCAGTAGCAAAGTAATTCTTGTGGATCAAAACCCTTAAAAGACAACCTCCCCCTGTCCCCAATCCCCCCAAAAAAGCCTCCCATTCCGTTTCGAAGCTGCATGCTGCCTTTGACAGTGTCTAGGATGACTTTGACTACACTATTAAAAGTTGGGAGGGAGTTATACTGACAAGTTCCCAGTGTGGTTGCAGCTGAAGGTGTTCTGAGGTTGGTGTATTTTTGTGTGTGTAAAGCTTGTAGCAGTTGCCCAAATAAAACCAAATTGCTAAAGGAATTTTTTTTTTTTCTTCTTCCTGAGATAATTATATCTGCATTAGGGGTTTTGCTGGCACCTCTCCCACTTGGGATTTTCTTCCTTAGATTCCTATAATAGATCTGGCTATGGAAACTTAGACCAGGTGTAGCCTACATGGTGAACTAAACTAATCACGCTCTGAGCAACACAGAGAGGATCCCCTCTGATCTGCAGTAGGTGCAGTAAAAGCCCTATAGTTCATTGCAGGGGGATGCAGCTTTGTTGTCTTAAAGGAGCTTATGAAAAAGTAGACTTTGGATTTCTGGAAATACTCTGGTTGTGTGCAGACTTTGACTTGCACAGTTTTGCAGCTCGTGAAGTCCAGCGTGCCTTATCATGCCTAGTGTTTTATGAAGTGTATGCGAGTTAATGGAGCTAGCACAGTGAACACTGGGACTGTCAAGACCTTTCTCAATTTAGATGCTGTTTTGAAATGTAATACTTAAGGCTATGACTGTTTTTTCAGTAAACAAGTGATATCAGAGGGACTATTAAGGAACAAAAAGAGTTAAATGCACTAATTAAGTGGGTTTAACAAAAAGATAATGATAAGCCAAATAAAGCAGCATTGCTGGAAAGGAATGTGTGTGGGTGGGAAGGGGGTTACACAGGCAGGCAGACAAAGACTCAGTCTGGAAACTGCTGATAATGAAGAGGTGGTGGAGCTCCCCACAAACAGGTTTCAGACTTCTCTGGCTTTTGTCTTTTCTTGTTGCATTTGCCAGTCCCTCCAGGGTACGTACCGGAGCTGAACAGTGTGCTGCTCCTCTTGCACTTAGTGTTAAACCAGGATGATACTTTTACCCTTCTCACTCCTGCAATAACCACATTGGCACCAGTCTTGCTACCAAAATAAACAGCAAACAGCATTACGCGCACCGCTGTGCATTTGACAAGCAACAGTCTCGAGCCCGATTCAGCCAAGTATTTATGTTGCGTTCAGTTTTAGTTATAATATTTAGGCATTTCAGAGTATTTCCAGAGGTCCTTTACAATCTCAACAGTTCTGTGGCTCTGTGATTTTTCTTTTCCCTCTTCTCTTTTGGCCAATCGTACCTGATGGGAGACATCAGGGTTGGTTGTTTATCACCCTAATAAACATTTTCCTTTTGTATGATTGGTGACGGTCCTAGGAGTGTGTCTAATTTATTTAGCTGTTAAAGAAAACCAAGAATGTCAGTTCCAAGGTTGGTACTATTATGCTTCTTCATACTGAAAGCCTAGCTGTTGTTCGTCTTCCAGCATCAAAAAATTAAAACCCCCAAGCTAGCCATTTCACATTTCTTTTTCCCCCAGTGTTTCCAATTATCTGCCTGAGAAAATTGCTTGTAGTGAAAGTTGCCTTCCTGTTTTTTAAGCTGTTTTGCCCACATTGAATGTTCTAAGTGAGACTTACCTATGCACAAACTGTCTTGGGGGGTTGCTCCCTGTCCCCAGTCGCCTTTCAGTCCACTGCCCAATTCCATCCCCTTTTGCTAAAAGGCAGCATCATCACGGGGGCAGTCCCGGTCCTTTTAGCCCCGGGAAACGTGGCTGCTGTTCACCCCGTCAGGCAGCAGTCACTCAGCACACGTAAAATCCAGCCAAGCTTTCGTTGCCTCCTGCCTTGCTGTCACACCAGAACAGGCTGGGGGTAGAGGGGGAAGGTGAGGCTGTTGCAGCGCGGGCTGGGTGGAGGTATGGGAGATGTCCAGGGAGTAGCAGGAGGAGGGAGAAAGGGTTGGAAATGGGGAAATGGCATCTTAAATATTTTAGTGGATGTGGAGTATTTTGCAGATCAGAGTGGCCTGTGCGTTATTACAACGCGGAATGTCAAGGTCAGAGAGTTGAGCCTGCAGGAACCTGAGCTTCAGCGCTCCTTTGTTCACAGAACTCCCTCCAGTCAGGATTTCCCCACCCCCCCTCGGCGCCGTCTTCATTCTCGGTTTCTTTGTAATAGACCTACGTTCAGTCAATGGAAATACTTGCTTTATCAAAAAGATAGGGAGCAGAAAAGCCGTGTCAGCTTGGGTATTTCAGTAACGGGCATTTGAGCAATGCTTATCGTGTCCTAGACGTGACATTGCTTCAACCACTTATACCTCTCCCTTGTCAAACACTGGCAGTAGGTTCACCTCCTTCAAAGCAACTAGAGAAACAGAAGTGGTGTCAGTCTTGCAGCGGATGTCACTTGTGTTCCTGCACTGCCTTTTCTCCTGTAAATGGAAAGAAAACAATCTGTGAAGCCCTTCATTTATCAGACTTGCATTTGTATCATATACTGCAGTACAGAACAATAGCATCAGGGAGCAACATTGAGGTTTCCTGGAAAATTACAATACCAAACTTCCTCATTTTCAAACTTGTGGTTTAGACCTTGAGAAAAAGCTCTGCCTATTTTTTTTTTATTCTCCTTTTAGTGTGCAAAGTCTACAAGTGGGTTTTTTTGTGCACGGTTAAACTGAATATGAAGCAGGTTTCAAGTCCCTTAGACTGCTTTCTGAAAAGCTCAGGCCCCTAAGGCATTCCAACAGCTTTGCCAAGAGCCTTCTTGATGTGGCTCCTTCTTGATGTGGCTCTCATCAATGTGTGGCTCCTTGAATTTCTTTACTGTTTATTATTATTTTTTTAAATCTAGTATTTACAATTTTTATAGGCATAAATTTGCCACAGATTAATTATTCTCTTAGGGCAATGTGAAAACAATGCATGCTACTAAATTAAAGAGAAGAAAACAGCAATTTAATGTACTGCTGGCAGAGTATATAAATTTCTTCTATGCAAGTGGTTTGACAGATGGAGTTTAAATACTCCCTCAGAAAAGCCTGTAACCTCTTTAATTCTAAACATTTTGACCCACTGGGATTACGAGCCCCTCGCACAGCTAAACAGAGTGATCCTTGGCTGAACTTTACACTGTCACCCAGGACCTGGAAATGCATTGCACGTTCAAGCAGAGTCTGTGGGAAATAGCGTGCTCCTGGGTCAATCACACGACATGCAGTCCATGTCCAGGCAAGGTCAGATGAAAAAAAAGCTTCCCCTCTCACAAGGAAAAAAAAAAAGTGTTGGGAGGGGAATTTCCAGCTTCCTTACAAGCATATTTTAGAGCTTGAGCTCAGAAGAAACTTCACCTCTTTTCTCTGCCCGTAGACCAGCAGACAGCACTAGAGCTTGTCTTCTC